ATAAAAGTAAATAAAATATAGCCTTGCCAAACTTGATAATGTGCAATTTGAGATACTGTACAATTGCATCTCTTGTTAGAATTCCTTGTTTTCCAATTACTGTCATCTTGCAGTTGTCCACCTGATTAGACTGTCTTAGCTGTTCATGTGGAAATGCAGAACTATGCTTAATATTTTGTATGCAAGCATTGTTTGCACACTGTACTTTTCTACACAAAAAGTGAATTGAAAAGCAGGATATAAAGTCTATATATCTCTTTCTTCTCTACAGTTTTCCAGTGTTTCCCTATTGAGAAAAGCACATACTGCTTCATAAGAATTCTTCGTAGTTTCTTGACGAACTTTATAGTTTTAAAACTGTGTGTTTCTGTGTGAAATTTGATGGGAGAGGGAAATTTTATTTAGTTAGTTGTGTTTGGTTCGAGGACTTATCCATCTTTTAGTTAAATGATCACGTTTAAGTTTTGACATTAAATTTTATGGAACGTTATCCTGAAATCTGATTGAAAAAACTCCTATTGAATCTCTAACTTTCCATCATGATGAATTAGTTGTTATTGTTACTAATTTTAGGGGGGTGTTTTTGTTTGGTATTTTTATACTTCCAGAGTACTTAGGAAGATACTGCAAAGACCTGTACTGTGGTTAAAATCTTTGGGCAATCTTACATTGCTAAACTGATGCGTTGTTTTTTTTTCTTATATGCAAATCAATAAGGATTATAGTTTCCCAAGCGGCAGTGGGATTTCTTGACTTATTATCATAAGCCTTAAATGTCAGGGTTGGAAGATGGAGAAATGAATAGGAATGCTACGCCTCACGTTACGACCTATCTCAGGAAGCTAAATCCTTGTTTCCTATCTACTTACGTGTTGTGTCACCTTTTGCACAGTTTTTTGTAGTTGCAGTTGTGAAGTATTCTGTTTCTACAGAGCATTTGTAAAGGCACTCCATAGTTCCTGCAGTATTATAAAATTACTTTTCGAAAATAGACTGAAGGATTTAGAATCATCGAATTGTTTAGGTTGGAAAAGACCTTTAAGATCATCCAGTCCAACCATTAACCTATACTACCAAGTCCACACTAAACCAATCAAGGGTAGACTAGACTAAACCATGTCCCAAAGTGCCACAACTACCCGCTTTTTGAACACTTCCAGGGATGGGGACTCCACCACCTCTCTGGGCAGCCTGTTCTGATGCTTGACTATCTTTTCCATGAAGAAATTTTTCGTAATATCCAATCTAAACCTCCCCTGGCACAGCTTGAGCCCATTTCCTCTCGTCCTATCACTTCTTACTTGGGAGAAGAGACTGACACCCACATTTGGTCATTTATAAAGCAAAGCACTGCTCACTGACATGGGCCGGGTCATCTTTTGGGGCTTTTTTGTTTTGTGTTGCTGTTCCTGATCATTTCCAACATAGTGAGACAAGTTTGAATCCTGTAAAACTGCTGCTCCAGTCTGTTGTGCTAACGTTGCCAAAACACTTTGCTGATCAGATTTCAATTTCATTTTGACTAGGTGGACATAGCACGTGAATGCTATCTGTGGATTTCTAGTACCAATTTCAACATTGTTTAGGATTTGCTTGATCTAAGAGAACAGTACACTAGATTTTGAAAAGTAGATGTTTGAAATGTCTTAGTATGGGGTCAAGCATGTTCTCATGCAAATAAGATGCATTTCATTTCAGTGGTCTATGTATCTTCGTATTTTTAAAGCTGTCGTTAAATTACATTTTTCTAAAAAAACAGGTAACGGGGAAAAAGTTATTTTCTGCAAGCCATCAAACCTATGAAGCTGTGCGATCACTATGGGCAAAAAAGGAAGACGTCAGCAAGGTAGGCTTTCTGAAGTAATGACTGTAACGCATAAATTCAGAGGGAGAAAAAAGTAAATTAGAAGGTCAAGTACTATTCTGCTGATACTGTTTAAGATTACGAATTGCATTAAGTGAGGCACAAAAACCCCTCTGATATTTTTGTAACTTCAGTGTTTAATTAATGTCACCTTTGTAATACCTTTCAGACGAGGGGATCTCAGTATCTACTGCATAAGAGAAGACTGAGTTTCTCTGATAGCTTGTTTTTGATCTTGACAAAAATAATCCATTCCGATTCAAGCTTTGGTCCTCAGCAGACCACTGAATTTAAAATAAAGACACACAGAATTACAGTAGGTATGGCTAGATTGTGCTTAAACATATCAGTGAAGGAAATTTCACAACCCTTCCAGGTAGTCCATTTTAATTACCCTGTGATATAAATTGTCTGTGTCTGTTTTTTTTTTTTTTCTTGTCCTGTCCTCATTGCAGCCATAGTGAATAAATGGTCAGTAACCTCTTTATATTGTCCTGTTACATATGGAAAATTTATTATGGTTTTTGACATTATCTTCTCCTTAGTATAACCTTTTTTTACAAGAGCAGACTTTCTCACTCTTAGGTAATTCTTGCTCTCCTCTGAGCTTTCCCTAGTTTCTCTCTCTCCTTTTTCTGTTTTTAGGGGGTTTGTGTGAGGTTTGTGGTCATAGGGTTTTTTTAAGTGAGGTGGTCACAGTAGGGCGCAGTATAGCAGCTGAGGCCTTGCCAGCATCAGTAGAGGGGAATATTAACCTCCTGTAAATTACATACGGAATTTGGGTTAGTACAACCCAGAATTAAATGTGTTTCTGCAACCTGAAAGGGTTTTTCTCCAGTGGAAATTTCAAAACCTCTGACAAAAGTAGTACTTCACTGAGTAAAATTTCAGCTTTGCACAGTGATATTTTTTTTTTTCTCTTTTTAAAGAAAATGAAAGTTCCTCAGTCATACTAACATTTAGAAGTTTATGGCTGTCATTTGTATGCAGTCCTCACCTTTGATTTCCACTGAGGCCCGCAAATGGAATTCTGAATTTTGAAAATGAGATTCAGATAAAAATAATGAAAATGATAGCAAAACGAGAATTGATGTGATAAAGACAGTTTCTATTAACTTTATTTTTTTTTCTCTGAGTGAAGCCTGTTCCCAAAACAATACATTATTTTTCATTACTAGGGTGTTACCATGATTTATCTTTCCATCTGCTGTTAACTAAGGGCAGTAGGTTGTGCGGGAATGACCCTGGCTGGAGGCCAGGTGCCCACCAAGCCACTCGCTGCCCCTCCTCAGCTGGACAGGGGGAGAAAAATACGACGAAAGGCTGGTGGGTGAAGATAAGGACAGGGAGATCACTCAGCAATTCCTGTCACGGGCAAAACAGACTCGACTTGGGGAAATTAATTTATTACCAGTCAAAATCAGAGTAGGATAACGAGCAATAAAATCAAGTCTTAAAAACACCTTCCCCCCACCCCTTCCGTCTTCCCTGGCTCAACTTCACTCCGGATTTTCTCTCCCTCCTCCTCCAAGCAGCGGGGGAGTGGGGTTGTGGTCAGTCCATCACACACTGTCTCTGCTGCTCC